TGCCTGCGGTGACCTTTAGAAGTGGAAGTTTTTGTTCACCCATCAGGACACAAGACACCAACTACAGTGTATTTCTGGGCTGCTCACACAAATCCGTAATTTTTCTTCTTCTACAGCAGTCCATCGACATCAATTGTTTGTTTGTTTTAGTAGAGGTTTTACGGCGCTCGCAACTGCATAAGGTCATATGAGCGCCAGAAAATTAGAGGTGTTACAAGAGAGTAACAAACAAAACAAAAAAGAAGGGAGGGGAGATAAGGACGATAGATGTTTGATAGGAAAGAAGGAGCAAACCACACCAGAGCACCCGCCAACCACCCACTTCGATATCGATGAAGACTAATACAGTATGTAGTGCGGTAAGAGTTTTACGGCACTGACAACACAATAAGGTCATATATGTGCCGAAGATTGGAGGTGTTACATGAGTCACAAATACAAAAAGAAGGAGGGGAGATAGAGACGATTTTTTTTTTATAGGAAAGAGCAAACCACACCAGAGCACCCGCCAACCACCCACTAATACAGTATGCTACTTGATACAGCTGTGCCTAGGCGGCAGTCACAGAGGAGGCAGAATTACCAAAAACTACTACTCTCTTCTTAGTTTAGTTTTAGTAGAGATTTTACGGCGCTCGCAACTGCATAAGGTCATATGAGCGCCAGAAGATTAGAGGTGTTACAAGAGAGTAACAAACATAAAAAAGAAGGACGGGGAGATAAGGATGATAGATAGATGTCTGATAGGAAAGAAGGAGCAAACCACACCAGAGCACCCGCCAACCACCCACCTACTCTCTTCACACCTTGACTTCCTTGATATTCTCCAAAAGGAAAGTCAGTACATTTGGGAACAAAGACGGTACAAGGGCGCGCATAGAACAATTTTACAAGTGTGACAGTTCTGAATTTACTGAAACCATGCTGGGGATTCGGACAGAGGTTGTCTCGATACTAGTAACTGAGACTAAAACATAATTGTGAGGCAGCGTGGTGGAATCAGGCTCTCGTCAAAATAATCAAAGTGAAGAAACTTCTGGTTTGTGAATTTTTATCAAATTTTATTTTTTTGACTCAACATCTTTCATGCCCATTTAACAACTCATTTCTGTGTAGATTTTCTGAAAAACGTTGATTAATGGCACAAAAAAATGTCAATTTTCAGTTACCACAGACACTTAAGCAAAGGAAATAACTAATCTTTGGCGGCCATTTTCTCACTAAATTTACCCCTGAAAGCAGGTGACCCTCACCTCCTTCTTTTTCAAATATCTCGACTTGTGTTCAAGATAAATGGATATATTTTTCATCCAAATAAAGACAAGTAAACAAGTTTTAAGATGATACCAAAAACTCTACATGCCCCGAAATTGACGAGAGCCTGATTCCACCACGCCGCCTCCCAATTAATTGACATCTCCTCCCGTCGCTGTTGTGCCACGGCAGCTTTCAGCAACAGCTTATACAGGTGAAAAATTAATGTTAAAAAACAAACATTACTTTTTCGGTTTAGTTTTAGTAGAGGTTTTACGACGTTCGCAACTGCATAAGGTCATATGAGCGCCAGAAAATTAGAGGTGTTACAAGAGAGTAACAAACCAAAAAAAAAGAAGAAAGGGAGGTAAGGACGATAGACGTTTGATAGGAAAGAAGAAGAATCCTGGTTCAAGGATTACAATTTTTTTTTAAAGAACACACACATAAATATAGCCTACATAAATGCACAGTCTAAATTGTCCCAGACGGCCACCAAAAATTGTTGAGCAGAAGAATGGTTATCTCAGACAGGTGGACATCATGGACAGTGTCATTAGAATACAGAAAAAAAAGTGTGCGAGGGGGATGAGAAGTGGTCATTTCATTTGTTCTGGTGATTGTCTAGGATAGGTGACTGTTAGAGCAGGTTTGACTGGCTACATAATATTATTACTTACTTACTTTTACTTTACTTGTTCATCCTCTGTTGCCGTTAAGCGTCGAGGGGAGATGCAGTTTTCTATGATAGGCCAGCTCCGCAGCTCTTTCAGTTGTGATGTTATGTTTTCTTAGGGTTTCCTTGACACCCTCGATCCACCTTTTGCGTGGCCTTCCTCTTCCTTTATAGCCTGAGTGCTTGGTGTTGTAGGCTCTCAAGGCTGGCTGGTCAGGTGACATGCATAACAGGTGGCCAAACCATTTTATCCTCTGTCTTTCTATGTAACGCAGGCAGGACTCAGTGCCGATAGCTGCTCTTACTTCTTCATTTCTCTGCCTGTCTCGTCTTGTGATGTTAAGTATAATATTATTATTATTAAACAGCCTTTTTAGCAGAGAAGAAATAGTACAGTAAAAATCCCACAACAAGCCATCCAGACAGAGTCAATCAACCCAACGTTCACTAACCCAAAGAAAACAAAATCACAATATCCCAATTTGTTCGACAACTGAATGAATTTATTGCATCTGATCACAAATAAGAAAGAAAATCTGAAAAAACAAAAGGTATAGATTTGGACAAACAATTGAATTGTTCTGTAGTCTAGCACAACTATTTGTGCATTCAGGAGTCCTATTTCCGAAGGCAAAACGGAAACACATGACGAATACCTAGCAAATATTCAAACGACATAAATGTAATATAAAATATGAGATGAAAAAAAAATATATAATCTCAATATCAACTCACTTGCACATGTCAGACATACTGTATACAACAGGATTTTTCTTCTTTTTTCTTTTCTTTTTACTAAGACAAGACCTACTGCTAAAACATGGTATAAAGACAATAATCCAAATCAATTTACTAACAAAAGAGGATTAGAAGGGAAGGTTCCTAATTTGAACAAATTAATCATCAGCTGACAGCAAATAGATGCCCATAATCTTTAATTTCAACCACATTCGATTCAAACAACAAAGTGAGACCAAAATCCCCATCAGAAATAAAGAGCGTTTCAACATCAAAACTAAACGTATCAAGAAACATTTTTTTCCCTTTTTTTTAAAATTTAAAGAAGGGGAGCAAAAGCAAAAGAAAGAACAAAAATCAAGCATTGACAATAGGGCTGGGTCACGAGCGCGAGAACGGAACTGAATCGCCACTCTTTCCTGCAGATCGCGATTCACGATTCACTTCAGCGGAACTCGGAACAATTTCGCCAAACGATTCCCGACTCACTCCCCTTGTGGCTTGTTTAACCTACTGCTGAGTCGACTCACGATCGCAAGAACAGAACAGAACACTTAGTATGGCTCCCCTTATTTTACAAAAGATGGTATAGTCCAGCCCCCTATTAAAACAAAATGAACGGGGTCCAACCAATAGACAGAAGGAATTTTATGGAGCCAATCATGGGGTTGGGGGGGGGGGGGACTTATGGGGGTCACTAATTGAGGTCAGTTGATAGAGCAGCGCAACAAAGGGTGTGGGGCGGAGAGGATGGCGGAACAACAAAAGTGGGACTCGCGCTCGCCAAGAGGCGTTGATATGACACTGTTCCATTTCAGTCAGTGTTCCGCCACAGCTCCACGAGCGCTCTTGTACTCGCGATTCATTGAAGCCGACTGAATCGCGAATCGCCACTCTCAAATTTGACGAGCAGGATCCAGCCCTAATTGACAAGGATTATCCACACGAAAAAGTCAAAGTCACTTTGGTATAGCTTTTGGTAAAAAAACAAAAATCATTTTAAAATCTGACCAGGATCATAGACATGAAAAATCCAAGTCACTTTGGCAGAACTTTTGGTACAAGCAAATAATGACCAAGCCTCCATCTTCCTGGAAAAAGTTCAGGTCCAAAACACAGAATAGAAATTTCAACAACCTGGATAAGGATAAGAAAGCAGAAAAAGAAACATATCTTCACGTAACATCGCCCCTGCTCCACAATTAACCATCCGCTTTGAAAAATGCAACAGGAAATAATTATCCTTTAGATCTGTAGAGCGCCTTCATGAATGTCTTCTTAAATTCACAATGTAGAAAAAGAAAACCCCCCACAAAAAGCTTTATCCATTCATCCAAAGGATTCACGGAAAAACACAAATCACTTAGAGCAGCATAGGACACAGATTCACCAACATTTAAACATAAAATAATGCAAAAATCAATAGATTCATTTATCGGTAACTCTCTTGGAATCAACAAATTAATATCAAATGTAACAAGCCACAGATGCATAGACTGATCAGCCAGAGAAGGCTGTCCCGCTGCCATGTGAGTTGAAAGCCCTCCATGCAGTTCATAAATTGTCGCTTTTAAGCACAAGGGGGCTATCCCGAAAAATGCTGTTTTGAGAAAATCGAACGTTAAGTTTTTGGACCCTTGTTCAGTTTCTTTGAAAGACAGGGAGAGTTTTCTCTATACCCAGACAAATATACACACCAATGAAACCAAACTTCTCCTTTAGGTAGGGCAAAGCCCATTTTGGTGAAGGTCAAGATTTCTGGAAACTCTTGAAATTTGGGTTAGCCCGCTTGTCCTTAAAAGCGACCAAATACAAGGCACACATACAAAGGAAAAGAAATTTTAACTAAAACAACAGAAGATGCAAGCGCCAAACAGTCGATGAGAATATTTCAATTGGTTAGTATCAACGTCTATTGAAAGAAAACTTACGGAAAACAAGTTGGTCGTCAGGTAAAAGAAGATATCTTGCAGAGAGTTTCAACCAAATAATTATTTCCATTTTAGTTTTTATAAAAGATAAAAATTCGACTGAGCAATATACTTTTCATCCAGCGTTATCACAAAGAAAAAAATAATTGTATAACAGAAACAAACATTTTCCTTCGAGCTGTCATTTTGTTGAATCATTACACACTCTAAAAAAAAAAGTCCACTCTTTTTCATGAGACTGCTGGATATTGGAGGAGAGTAACTTTTTAGTATCACACAGTATTATGTATTTATATACATAGCAGCAAAAAAGTGCAATGACAACGAGTACTGCGAAGTACAATATCAAAAGACATCACTGCCATACATACACAGTACAAAAATAATCATTCTTCTTTTTAGCAGATGTTTTTATGTCTCCATCAACACAGTTTAGATAATTTAGGAGGTGGGTTTTGACACTACCTGCCAGCACCAATTTAGGCTGAGAGGGATCACCACCCCAGCAGATGGACCAAGATACTCTATAAAAATTCTCATAACTCGGGAATCAATCTCAAGTCTGCTATGAGCGATGGCGAAGTGCCGAACAAATACACCACAGATGCCAGTACCTTGTACAAATGAAGAACTGGAATGTGACATACTATGTTACATGGCCGACGGTCTTGTTAGGAGATAAAAACATAGAAAGCAGAACTACCAGAAATGTTGGAAGTTGACAAGCCAAACCCCGACAAACAGAACAAATGTCATAATGTTTGGTCAGACCAGCAAAGGCTAACATACAAATGTGCACCCAGCTAGTCAAAATGTACAAATGAGACTTTGACAAAACAAATCTGTTTCAACACAGTACCAAAGTTTCAGGGGTGGATTACTACAATTCTTAAGGAGTCTAAACCAATGTTGATTTAACTTGCATACATAAAGAGCAATATCAAATACAAAAATTTTTTAAAACGAATTTCTAACATTCCTTCCGACTTATAAACCAAAAAAATGGCACAGAGATATCTGTCGTTTCAAACAGTTTGATTCACAAACTACAGTCACATAGATGATGTAAAGCACCGGCTATATGGGACACCAAAGTTAACAAACAGAAATAAGACAGCGGGTACCCATGCATTACAAGCTTTAGTGGCCGCTTCAGGATTGATTCTTTCAGCACTTGGGGTGAAAAGTGGCGGTAACCCTGCACCAACTGGGCATTATGACCATACATCAACACCCACCCCCTCAAACAAATATCATTAACAATGATTACATCACATGATCTCAAATCAGCCCATACTGATTAGATCAAAATGAATGTAACAAGAAAATGGGGTGTCTAAGGAGGACTTATCAACGGAGAGTATCAAGTATCAATTCAGGGAAAAATTAAGAACAAAAATTAAAAATTTGGAAGCAGCATAGCATGGGGAAAACTTTCAACAGTAACGGTCAAATGACTAGGACTAGTGTTAAATCCAAAACTTTTCTCACAAGGCCAACTATAGCTCAATGCTTAATCAACAAACACTTGGCTTAACCTGTACCGTATTTTCAGGCCGGCAGAGAAGTCTAAATCAATATAGGCTGGAAGCGGGACATAAGACAGATTGAAAACACAGAAAATAAACAAAATTGAGGCCAAGAAAGTGAGACCTGAGCCAAATCATATGAAAACGATAATAACATTTCTGTAAACAACAAATATGATGGTATAAAAGGCAACATATGTTTGAGTGTTACTGACAATGCACAGTATAAGAAAGCTTGTTCGAACAAATTGGATGATTAACAGAAACAGCAAAAAATAAGACCAACCACACAGACACAGCAGTCAAACCCAAATTAACCGGTGCATAAAAATCATAGTACCCTTGTATGTCTTTAAAATACATTTACAGAAAAATCAAACTCTGTAGTTATCAGCTCCTAAAATATACACTTAAAACGTTTTTTCTGTTTAGTTGTAATAATTGCATTTTTTTTGTTAAAGAATACAAACTTCTCGTCGCAAAAGCAGTCCAATTTCAATTCACTTTTTCCTTCTGCAATTTCAACTTCTATTCTTCCATAAATCAGTATGTTGCCCTACAATTTTCAATCATACAACCTAGCGGTATAAACAAATTGTAGCATATTTACAGATATGCAGCAATTTCAAGATCAAAAGGCAAAAATTTCCGATCTAAGTCTTATTTTGAGACATTATTGGTGTAAAACATTTAGCTCGGAGCTCTTAGTCTGTAGTCATGTGATGCTCTGTGCTGTGCTGTGCTGTGCTGTGCTGTGGGTCTCTACCAAGGAGAACAGGGATCCTTGCAGGTTCTGATGTAGGTTTCCAGCTCCCCGGTACTCACTTTCATCAGGGCTGTATAGGTGGTAAGCTGAGAAAAACACAAAACAGTTCATTTTCATTAGTTCGGAATGACTACTTAAAGGAACAACAAGAAAAAACAGCTAAAAAATTTGTTAAACATTAATTTAGAAACTCAATCAAAAGTGAATACAATGTGATAACCCTGTTCTGCTAACTGCTATAGTTTTGTTTCGGTAAGTGTTTTACGACACTTGCAACACAATAAGGTCATATAAGTGCCGAAGATTAGAGGTGTTACAAGAGAGTAACAAACATAAAAAAAAAGGAGGATAGATAAGGGCGATAGATGTTTGATAGGAAAGAAGGAGCAAACCACAACAGAACACCCGCCAAGCAACTGCTATGTGAATGAGTGTCACGACGCGGTGAAATCAAGCGCACATATATTTTGGGCATGAAGAGTCAATAGTATCATCTTAAATCTTGTTCATTTGTCTTGCATTTGATTTTTTAAAAAGTACCCATCTATCTTGAATAGAAGTCTAGATATTTCCGATTGAAGAAGGCAGGGGTCACCTGGTTTCAGAGGTAAAATTGTCGAGGAAATGGCCACCAAAGTTTGGTAACTTCCATAGCCTGAGAGTTATTGGGAAATGAAAATTTACATCGTTTTTGTATCTTTAATCAATGTTTTTCAGTAAAACCCACTCATAAACGTGTTTCTAAATAGACATAGAGGTGTTGTGCCAAAAAACAAAATTTTTTTAAAATTTGCAAACTGGCAGAAAAAAAGCTGTTTTCTGTTCTAATTTCGTTCTTTTGACGAGCTCCAGATTTCACCTGGATGCTCCACATATTCTGTTGGCATTTAGGCCTGATGTAATCTTGTTGCAGGTTAGTATACAGTTGAAATTGTTTAAGACAACCACCCATGTTTGAGGAGAAAAGTGATTGTCTTAACAAGGTGGACGTCTTGCACAGTGTCATTAAAATATCTTAAAAAGATCCTGGGGGAATGGGAAGTGGTCATTTGTAGTGATGATTATCTAGAATGAGTAGCTGTAAGAGTAGGTGTGACTGTATGTCGTTGGCGGAGGGCTAAAGGTGAGTATGTCCACATTTCTTGTTTTGAGGAAGGAAAAATGGATTTTACGGGCAAAGAGTAAAAGTCATATATAATAGCCACATTAGGAATTGTAATTTTGGCAAAATTACTAGACGGAATGGACTGATATTTACAGAAATGGCGTAAATATCATTTTAATGCTCTGTTTGGAGCTTTGGCCAAAATGAACCTGGTCACTTCTAGCACTCAGCCCACGATAAATGCCTGCCACCCACACAGAAAGCAACAAGCCTAATGTTCCAATGAAAAATTATGTATACCAGAGACAGTGGCAGTCACTGGAGGGTAAAATGGCCGCAGGCAATAACTTTTAATATGTGAGGCAGCGTGGTGGAATCAGGCTCTCGTCAATTTTTAGGCATGTAGAGTTATTAGTATCATCTTAAAGCTTGTTCATTTGTCTTTATTTGTAAGAAAAAAAAATATCCATTTATCTTGAATACAAGTCGAGATATTTACGAAAGAAGGAGGTGGGGGTCACTTGTTTTCAGAGGTAAAATTAGTGAGAAAATGGCCGCTAAAGGTTAGTTATTTCCTTAGCTTAAGAGTCCCTGGCAACTGAAAATTTACATTTTCTGGGTCTTTAATCAACGTTTTTCAGAAAAATCCACACAGAAATGAGTTCTTTAATGGGCATGAAAGATGTTGAGCCAAAAAATCAAAAATTAAATAAAAATTCATAAACCTGCGAAAAAATGCAAGTTTCTTCACTTTGATTACTTTGAAGAGACCTCTAAAGACCACTCGCCACTTGCATTTTTCTCGATATTATATGACAATGTCTCATCATCACAGTCCGAATAATTCCCCTTTTACTTGTTTTGTTTTTCTCAAAACCTAACAATCTGCACCATGTTGGCACATTTTTACACAATCTACAAATATCAGCACCTAAATCAGGGCATGGGACCAAAAAAATTGTATTAAATTGTGACACTGTCCAAAAAGACCACCTGTTTCAGATGACTCCTTTTCTACTTGACAATGGGTGGTTGTCTTGGCCAGGTTTGACTGCACTGGATTATGACTTGCCAACGGAGAGATGTAAGGCACAAGCTTGGGTGGTGGTGTGGCCACCTGTATTCCTCATCTTACACCGATACAGAGTTGAATACCAGTATCTTTACAAACTAAATTATCAAGAAACAATACATGACAAAATAAATGAACGAGATACCTTGTTTAACACTGGCTGAGAGGAGAGAACATTGAATATCCCAGCAAAACCGGTGTTCTGAAACAAGCAACAAAATAAAAACAGGATATAAATAAAAGCAATGAGTAAAGTTCACATATAAGATGAAGGATATTGCACTACAATAATCACTGACTGAGATACAAATAAGTTCAAACTTAAGAATAGAGACGGGTCATAGGCAGAGTAATGTCAGCCTACATCATGAGCACTAACCTATGGTAGGTAAAAAAAGAACAGCACTCATGTGTGCTCATTGTCTGAAAGTGTTTTGTTAATACCTTGCATTTTAATCATTCCTTCATATGTCATGGATCAGGGGGAGGGGAGGGCAACTATTCTTGGATTTTTAAACACTGATAAGTTATTCAAGCGGTGGGACCTCCAAATTTAACGTCCTTTTTCAGCAGATCCAAACATACAATCACAGACAGCACAAGAATATAGAAATACTGAAAAGAAATAAAGGGAGAACAAAACCCCAGAGCACTTCACCACTAGTTGTGCATAACATTACTGTACTTTTTCCCTTTCCTCAACTATTGAAAGAAAAAAAAAATAAACACAAGACCTGCCATATTCACTTGATCTAAAGCTGAGAAAGGTAAAAACCCTAACCAAAAGTTTAACAAATTCACCTTCTGTCCCATGGCGTCCATGCACTTGTGAGCCGGGGCCCGGCGGTCGTCCAGGAAAAGCGGGGCCTCCCAGTGGTCGTAGTTGGTCTCCAGGATGTACCAGCGAGAAGCGTTGGACATCTTCCAGATGTCTACGGCAGCCTCACGGGAACGGGTGATCACAGTGCCCTGAAACACACAGTAATAAAGAAATGTTACCCCAGTCAGGTCATCAGCTACATCAGAGATTACATGGCAGAAAGAGTAACAAAAACCCTTGTAACATCGCTGACTGTTTTAAAATTAGATTATTGAAATTCTCTTCTTGCGGAAATTGTAAATGAATCAACCCGCCACCATCAAAATGCTCAAAATAACGCAGTCCGGCTTATTTTTACAGAGAAAAGAACCCATACCACCACAGTACTGAAAGAGCAGCATTGGCTGCCATTTAAAAGCTGTATTGTGTACAAAGTTTTCTACAATGAATATTTAAATTTATAACGGTACACTAGCCTACCTCTCAAATATCCAAGTAGGTAGCAGCAAGAATTATAAGGCTGTCCAGTGATCAAACAATTTTATTCAAACCAATTGTGAACTACAAATTTCACAGACAGCATGTCTTTTCGTATTATGGTCCTGTCATTTGGAATGACTAACCCCGATATAATAGACACTGGACTTCCCATGCAATGTTTGGAAGACACTGTGGCGTCGGTGGCCTAGTGGTTAGGCTTTCGGACTCGCAACCGTAAGGTCGAGGGTTCGAATCCCATCAGGGGCCCGACATTGTGTCCTTGGGAAAGGCACTTTACACGAGTTTTCCTCACTTCACCCAGGTGGGAATGGGTACCCAGCTATAGATAGTGAAAGATCTTGTCAGTTTGTTAGTGTTTGAGCGCTTAATCAGCTGCTTGCACTGTATGCTTCCCGGAAAGCTGAGAATGTTTCGGAGTGTTCTAAGGTCTGCTGGGGTAATAATATAGTGTTAAAGCGCACAGAGCCTGTTGTTGCGCGGTGATATGCGCGATACCAATGCTATTTATTATTTATTATTATTATTATTAGTCCAATCTGCCGTTCAAATACCCCAAACTACAAAGTCTCTAAAGGCAACCTGTACTGCATTAAAGAACAAATGTCGAAAACCTTGACCTTCTATACTATGGCATTCAACTGAAGGGCAAACTTTCAAAGGCTAGCGAATTAACAACAGCACCATTTGGCAGACACTCACCTCGCCAGACTGATTGCCCCCCAGGATGAAGTAGGCCGGGGACAACATGACCGTGTTGGCGAGCATGGTCCGGGCCTGACTGTAGCTGGTGGCGTTTTCCATAACGTCCCGAGTCAGGAAGCCCATCCACTTCTGCTTGTGGTCGCCTAGCAACCATTTGATGATGCCTGAGTACAAAGACAGATAACAAAATTAACACTTCTTGCTCTGGGTTTAGCATCCACATCATGAACAGAATCAGAAATGGAGATGTTCCTAACACTGCCCTGTTGCTTGTATATTGTTATTTTTGCTATGTATGAACATGATGTAAGTGTTTGCAGTGGCTTCACAAGAATAAATTCACCACGGGCAGAACTACATAAAACCAAATGAGTCGACATGTATGCAACAGTCCAAATTGTCCATGACAGTCACCCATTGTTGAGGATAAAAGTGGTTGTCTTAAACAGGTGGATACCATGGATAGTGTCATTATTATATGGACAGAAAGTAACGCAAGGAGGGGGCGCCAGAAGTGGTCATTTCCACGGGTAATTGTCTTGGACAGGTGGCCGTTCGAGCGGGTATGAGTGATGATACCATATGAAAGATGATTCTATTTCCAACAAGATTTTCAATATAAGGAAATTGGTAAACCTGCAATCAGTATGTTAGAGTGCTGTTACCACACTTGAGGAAGACTTGAAACGTTAGAGAGAGCTAATGTGTCTTGGATTCTTGTTTGTCAAACCTAATTCAAGTCTGCCAACAGGGTCCTTTCAGCTCTAAAATGTGCAAAATTGATGTTGGCTGCCTCACAGTACAATAACAGCCACATTTCACAAGGAAAGAAAAATACTAACACCAAGAAGTAGAGACGATTCTAGTAAACTAATTAGCAATGAACTTCAACACTCAGCACAGAGATGAAGAAGGTTTTAAATGAGTAAAAAGACCAAAATCAATTATAAGAAAAGGGGTGAAAGGTAATAAACAAAGCCTAGGAAGTAAACTTACCAACGAAGCCTCCATCAATGTTGAACCTCTCATCCATGGACATTGTGAAGAGCTTCTGTAAAACAAAAAAACAAGGGATTCTTGGTAATTATAATGGTCTGTGTTTTACACCCCCATCATCAAAGCTATTTATATCATTCAGGAGTTAATGGGACTCTCAGACAAAAGAAACAAAATTGTCAATATCTGCCTACTTTTCTTTCGCAAAAAGTTTTCTTTTCCTTACTCAATGTAGAAACCGGATTTTCTCTATCATGACCTTGATTCACATTACTAAAGGGTATAGGCTTGTTAAGTGAAATGATACACCTTAAAATAAGTATGAACGTTTGAGATAATTTACAAAGATAAAGTTTTAACATACTTGGCCTTGTCAGAAATGAGACAGTTGGTAAGACACAATTCTTTGGCCAGGCCAGCTAGCTTTCATACCAAACGAACATGGGTATGTACAGAAACAAAACCACTATATTCATACCTGCCAACCACTCCAGGACCAAAAATAGGAGTTTTCCTCAGAGTTCTCCCAAAAAATAGAAGTTTGTGAGAAAATAATATTGCGAGTCTCCACAACCCCAGTAGATTAAGATAGCATTACAAATCAAAAATAGCAAACAGGCGGGTACAGCAAATGAACGCCAAAAAAAAAAAGTGTGTTTTCCCTTCATTTACAGTGGGTCCTACAAATATGTGAGGCAGCGTGGTGGAATCAGGCTCTCGTCAAAATAATCAAAGTGAAGAAACTTGCATTTTTTCCGCAGGTTTGTGAATTTTAATCAAATTTTTGTTTTTTGGCTCAACACCTTTCATACCCATTAAAAAACTCATTTCGTTGTGGATTTTTCTGAAAAGCGTTGATTAAAGGCATTGAAATGTAAATCTTCAATTACCACGGACTCTTAAGCTAAGGAAGTAACTAATCTTTGGCGGCCATTTTCTTGCCAATATTACCTCTGAAAACCGGTGACCCCCACCTCCTCCTTTCGCAAATATCTCGACTTGTATTCGAGATAAATGTATATTTTTTTCATCCAAATAAAGACAGGTGAATAAGCTTTAAGATGGTACCAAGAACTCAACATGCCCAAAAATTGACGAGAGCCTGATTCCACCACGCTGCCTCACATATTATGTTTCACAGAAACAACAAACGTACCGGCTTCACAGCTGTCAGAATGCCAGTGTACCCAGCAAAGTTGACGGACTTGAACACAGTGCGACCTCCACTTTGCCAGTCCAAGTTAACAATAAGTGGTCGCAAGCGCTCTGTCACTGCCCAAGTGTTGTTCTTTACATCCCAGCTGCAGACAGAAAATCAGTTATTTCTCTTCATCTAAATAAAAGTTTTACTGCACTTGCAACTCACCCAGGTAGTATGGAAGGTGCTTATTCGTGGCCTATACCCTGATCCAAGCTGTTGTGTTAATGTTATAGACTGCATGGCTGAAATTGTCTTATAAAAGATTATGTACCATGGTTGTAGTCTCTCTTCATAAAGTCGATATTATATAGTTATAAGGTCTTCCCCTGTTCTGTATGTTTCAGACTGAATCTGTGAAGCAAGTTAAATGAAGGAATATAAATAATATTCCTAATTTGGCAATTTTGATCTCGAAATCATTTGTCTATTTGAATTTGTCTGCCCTGAACTCTGGTATTTCAATTTCAAACTGTGATGTCACAAACCAACAGTTCCATCCCTGGATTTCTTTCAGGCACGAATATTTACACTAACACCACTGACCACGTAATCATTTAAGACACTTCCCTCCCCCTTTTTTCCCCAACAACAGACATTTCACAAAATGGAAAAAATTAGAGACCAAACGATTTATTTTTCTTATTCATCCTTTTAAAGCAATCTTCTCTGATTTGGTTGTCCATAGATATCAATGATGATAAAAGCAGTGTGGAAGGTACAACTATGCTTGAGAGGTAGACATAGAAGACGTATTACCTGTATTACCTGTCCTGGGCAACAACGTCATTGCCCACTGGACAGGTCCATAAGTGCTCAGTTCCCCCCAGCACCAAAGCCCGCAAAGTATCCATTCTGATTGTTCCGGCGGCTGTCTGATTATGGCGACGTCTTTCCTTTCCAGATAATCGTTCCTTTCTTCCTTCTCCCCTCTCTATCCCCATTTCCCGCATCCTAATGATTGCGTGGTGTTCTTCTGTCTCCTTGTCTTCTTCATTCCGCAACTTTTTCTCCAGGGTCTTCAACACTTCAACGTAGCTCACCTAAGTACTATTTCCCTCCCCTCAGAACGTGTACTTCTTTGATAACTGATATACTCCAAAGGTGAGACACAGTCAATCCATTCTAGAATCAAGTTAAAACACTTCATGGTATGATCACTCACTTGTATGATCCCTTTGAACATATTTAAAACAAAAGAATAAAACTTCCCAAAGCCAAAAACACTCTAATTCATGTTTTCATATTTCTATTGTACGAGTTTTACGACCCCACGCTGTCACAATTTAGATAATTTAGGAGGTGGGTTTTGACCCTCTGTGTCAGGGTCAACCAGTGCTGAGAAAAATATACCCTCACTACAAAAATACTGAGATACTCAATAAAAATATTCAATACATGATAATAAAACTCAGGTGTTTTGTAAGCAGCAGCAAAGCGCCTAACCTCCGCACCACAGACAGAGGTTCACATTCTTTCACAAACTTGAACAGTGGTGGCTCAGTTGTAGGACCTGATGATCCCTTTCTTTCTTTTGAGCACTTAACAAATAAAATGGCCTGGAAAATTCACTCTGTACATAAAATTTCAATTTGGATTTTGTACTCACCCAATAAAAAGGCCAAAGTCCAGGTTTCTAGCATGATACAGGGCCCCTATAGAAAGAACACAAAATATGTCATGATAAGTTTTATCACAATTGTCATTTTGCACTTTGTATACACTTTACAAGACAAAAAACCGAAAAAAAAGCAGGAGGTTGAATTCTACAATACAATAACATGGGAACATGAGCGTTCAGATGTACAGTCGAAATTGTCCAAGATAAGATGACCACCCATTTTCAAGGAGAAAAGTTGTTGTCTTTGACAGGTGGCCATCTTGGACAGTGTTATTATAATATTATTTTTAACCCAAGGGGGAACCAAGAAGTGGTCATTTCCTACGCACTGGCTGGCAGCTATGCAAATCTTGCACCTATGAAAGAGATAGAAAAGCGACAGACATCCTGAAGCTTTAACCACTTTCAAATTCATAAATTCTGTTGCAATAGATCTGTGATGCTAGACAACAGGTGGGATACCTCCGACGCTCAGTGAGCCTACACAAACTGTAGGGCGCTCTATTTCTTCTGCCCACTTGTTCACTGCTGCATATCAGTTATCTCTTGGCTATTGACCGGCCGGATCATTTTTTACTCTGTGAAAAAAAAAGCCGTTACTTGATTCGTCTCTTTGTTTAATATTTTTTTTTAATTACCTAACTTGAACGTACACAACTGAGAACAGTTTACACTACCACGGTCACTGCATTCAACAACAAACAATGACAGTTTTACACCTGTGCTCACATTTTCCCCACACAACACATTTATTCTATACTCATTTTTTAGTAAGGTTTTACAGCGCTCTGTCCCAACTGCATAAGGTCATACGAACGCCAAGGGGTGGATGGCAACAGAAAAGTCCAGACGAGGAATCCAAGGCTTACTCTGATCGCCTCTCTAGTCTCAACAGTACAAAGTCTGTTTTGACTATCAAGGCATCCAGGAAATAGCAGTTCACAAGTGAGCGACAAACATACAAAAGAAGTAGAGGAAATGACAATAGAAAGGATGAGGAAAGAAAAAGCAGCAGTTCCGGCTATGTTGTACTGGCACAGTATGAGCATGACATTGATAAATCAGATTCTGTACTCTCAAACCCCCAAAATGTATTTAAAAATATCAATGGCTGATAGCCTTCATTACAGTAAAATTTATTTTGCTCAGGTCAGGAACCTTATGGTATTCCAAAAAGAGATTAACTCTTTGACTACCATGGGTCGATCTATCGGCTCCATAACCTACTAGTTCATGGCCAAAAGCCGAATTATCGGCTCGCGCTTTTCTTTCCTTTTCCCTTCCACAATTTGACTCAACCTTTTCGTTTCATGTTTTTAACTGCTGTGCTTACCATACATCAGTCAACCAGTGAAGGAATTTAGCGCCTTTTGTGTTTTATTCTGCTGTTTTTTTGGCATTTTTTCTTGTTTTTTTGACCCGCCCTATGTTGCTCGAATTAATTTACACGCATAGCAACGGAAAAATGGCTGATAACCCATCAGGTTCCCCCCGTCACAACGTTTTTCTGCTTCAAAAGCCCTGGAAAAGTTTGATGGGGAGCTGTCAGTACTTTCCGATAGTGATGTAGGAGGTGATGAAGTTAGACCTGAGTCGGACAGCAGCGACAGCGATGAGATTGAAGATTCGCAAAGAGGGGCATGTGTGCAGCGTTTTTTTCTCTTTTTTTTTCATTGTGAGTGATTTCACCAAAAGTGCGACAACTTTGTATATACTTGACCATTGTGCATGAAACTTGGCTCAGTTAGAGACAATTGGAGATACTTCAGTATGAGTAAGTCATGAAGTGATTGGATTTACCAGCTATACACTGTGAGAAATGTAAGTTGGAAATATTTTGTTTATTTTTTATTTTGTTCACCTTGTGTTCACTTACCTCCCATGTTTGTTTGGATTTATGATTTTTTTCAATTTTTTTTATTAAATTAAAAATATTCTACATTCAATTACCTTCATTTTGGTGTATAACATGTCTGACTTCCCGATGGAATTATGCCCATCAGACACAAAAGAAGAACAGGGGTACTTCTGAAATTCTAAAACTAAGAAATGCCTTGGTCACAGCGCGGAAAACGCCTTGGTAGTCAAAGAGTTAAAGGAAAATGCCTCTGTTTAAAACATGTCGGTTAAATCATGTTAAAATCTTAGTCAGTCAAGATGCGAGATTGTGCAAAAAACCAGGGCAAAACAACGAATAGAAAATAAACGGTCTTTAGCAGGACTATTGGCAAGGTCAGGGAGGTTGATAGATTTTTTTTTTTTAAAGTAAGAGTTTTACGGCACTAGCAACACAATAAGGTCATATATGTGCCGAAAATTAGAGGTGTTACAGGAGACTAACAAACACAAAAAAGGAGGAGAGATAAGGATGATAGAAGTTTGATAGGAAAGAAGAAGCAAACCACACCAGAACACCCGCCAACCACCCACTTGAAAGGGTTCACTGACAAGATCTACATTTTAACCAACATCATTTACACGACCTACTTTTTTTATTTTAACACTGATATGGCCTACTTTTTTTCAGTAACATTCATTGTGTCTACTTTTTCACCATCAGTGACAAGGCATATTTTTTCTACTATCATTCAATTATTCTATCAGCTGTTCTCAATCTTACCCGCACAAAATAACCTTGAGCCTATGTTGACCTACTTCTCTCTATACAAACAGTTAAAATTGTCCAAGACAACCAACTATCATTAAGGAGAAAAGTGACTGTCTTACACAGTGTCATTATAAGGGGGGGAAACATGCCAAGAGGCAAATGGGAATTGGTCGTATGTACAGGTGATTGTCTTGGAAAGGCCGTCATTAAACCAGGTTCGACGGTACTTAAATTGTGTAAACAATATAACCATCACCATGTGTATAAAGCAGGAAACAAAGAATCAACATATATATGAGGCGTGCTGACAAAAGGAGTCACTTTTCGCAATCCAAGAATGGAGATGTCGGCCGAAAATCTACACCGGGGTCAGATTTAGAGATTTTCAACTGATGCCATTTTCTTCAAGTCTACCTTGTCTTTTATCATTCCATACTTACAAATTGTACAAACTCCACCTATAAAGTTGGTGTATCAATTTCCATATAGCTAAAATCCGAGAAGTAACTCTTTTTGTCAGCCCACATCACATATGCTCTCACCTGACGGGTCCTCTGCTACAATAGAAGTGCACACAGTGAAGAACTCGTAGAAAAGGTTGTACAACAACATTTCCCCTGAAAAGGTAAGAAAAAAAACAACTGAAGCTCTAGAAATATGTGTCACACTGACTTTGCTCAGCATGTTGTAAGCATTTAAAAAATCTAATTTAAAGCCAAACCGTAGAACATATTCATAACCCTCCAAATCACAAGTAGACGCAGTTTTTAACACTACAAGCAAAAAAATGTAAGACAGAAAATTTCCCCAATTCCAGTAAATGATACACATAAAAAAGAAGACAAAATTGTATCTTAAGAATTAAGTGGGAGGATAGAACAAGATATGAAGAGCTGAGGGAAAGGACAGGATAAAATGAAATAGAAGTAGAAATAGATGTAGAAAGTGGTGATGGATGGGACACACCTTAAGGAAGCCCAGCAGAAACATTACAAGACAGTCACTGCAGTGGAACCCACAGGGAGCACGAGGCAGGGGTAGGCCACGGGAAACATGGAGGAGATGCGCGGAAAGGGACATGAGAGAGATGAAGCTCACTAGGAACGAGCTTGGAAGGATGGTCCAGGACAGAGATAAATGGAAGGAGCTTGTATAAGGCCTATACCCTGCCAGAGGTGAAAGACATTGCTGATGAAAACTGGATTTTCTTTTTACCCCCTTTCAATAAACTTTCCCCCTGGATGGTCATTTTGCAACTCAGTCATTTGGTAATTTTCTATCTTCCTGGATACTCTCTCATAAAGCCTTGACCAGAATAGTTCAAGTAATTATAGAGGCATAGAATCAACACGTAATACAGCTCATTGTGGTGATGAGGAAGAGGGCAAGCCAATCAGTCAGCTTGTCACAGTGAAAGTGAAAATGATGATAATTGACCCTTCGACAGGAATGACAAAAGATTACAAACTAGAACTTGTATTTTTAGCTCACCCAGGTTTATGCCAGTGTTGTCTGCCAGGCCCTTTATCTCTCCAGCAAAAGGATATGGCAAAGTAGCATCCAAGTCTCCCTGAAACATCAAGTAAAAAGGTTATACAACTTAGGGTACGAATCAAAAGCTAATAGAAATAAAATATGCCAGCAATCTTTTGAAATCAGACACATGTAAGTATTTCTTCAGAATTCGACAAATCACAATAATTTACTGTGAAAGCAGTAGTATATATTAGAAAATTAGAATTACAGAATAAAAAAGATCAAAATTTTAAGAAAATGTATCACGTTCATCTGATTTGTTCAATAGTCATGGTGTTTTTAATAGTTCAGCAATACTAACATTTCCTCCCATCCAGGACTTCTAATGAAAAGATAAATCATAAGAAAATTAAAATAAAAAAGCTACGGGTCTTACCCCTTTGCTATCCAAAAACTCAATAATAGCCTTGGTAGCTGGGCCCCAATCCAAGATGAACTCTTTAAAACTGTCGATGAGAGCTTTTATCTGAGGACAAACATGGAAAAAGTAAAATCTGTCAATGATGGTCAACAACTTCATGAAAGTACAACAAAGCGGAGACCAGGGAAAATAGAGGCCTGTTGTTGCAAGGAGTGGGGCATCGATGGACAAACACAGCCACAGAGGTGGCAGGTGTGAAATAAAAATAGTGATACAATTTTCCACATCTGTACTGGTTAAGACCCAGTAAGTTTTTTAAGAAGAGTTTTACGGCACTTGCAACACAATAAGGTCACATAAGTGCCGAAGATTAGAGGTGTTACAAGAGAGTAACAAGCACAAAAAAGAAGGAGGAGAGATAAGTTAGTTTTAGTAGACGTTTTACGGCACTCCCGACTGCATGTCAACAGAGAAATCTTTACAGTAGTTACAGGGAATCAGACTTACTCTGCTCACCTCTCTAGCTTTGACAGCACAAAGTCTGCTTCGACTATCAAGGCACCCCAGAAATAGTAGGTCACAAAAGTGTGACAAACATACAAAAGAAGTAGAGGGAAAATTAAAATAGTAAGGATTAGGAAAGAAAAAGCAGCAGTTCTCTGTTGTAGATCAGTCCATTTACAATTCTACTATGCATGAAAGAGAAATGTCCCCCCTTTGGGAATGCCCTAGAGACACTTCAGTCAGTGGCAGGAGGAGAGATAAGGAAGATGGATGTTTGATAGGAAAGAAAGAGAAAACCAAACCAGAGCAACCGCTAACCACCCACATCTATACTGGTTAGGACTCAAAAAGCAAGATGAACACAATTAGTGACATCTTGTGCATGTCCTATCCATACAATGTTGGTGTATTGTAACTGTCCATAATTACAACCTAGCCCTGCTGGTGCTTATGTTGGTCACCTTGAACACATACTATCAAAAAAGTCTGGAGATATGTGAGGCAGCGTGGTGGAATCAGGCTCTCGTCAAAATAATCAAAGTGAAGAAACTTGCATTTTTTCGCTGGTTGGTGAATTTTTATCAAATTTTTGTTTTTTGGCCCAACGTCTTTCATGCCCATTAAAAAACTCATTTCGGTGTAAATTTTTCTGAAAAACATTGATTAAAGGCACAAAAAATTGAAATTTGCAGTTACCACAGACTCTTAAGCAAAGGAAATAATGAATCTTTGGCAGCCATTTTCTCACTAATTTTTCCTCCCTCATTCGCAAAAATCTTGACTTGTATTCAAGATAAATGGATATTTGTTTCATCAAAATAAAACAAGTGAACAAGCTTTAAGATGATACCAATAACTCTACTTGCCCAAAAATTGACGAGACCCTGATTCAACCACGCTGCCTCACATTTACTTTAAATTAAAAGGAGAAGGAAAAAACTGATTTTTCAGAAACTGGGAGCAGACCTAGCTCTTTAAACCCCATGATTCTTTGGTAATCTATAATGGTCCCGAGGGCTGGATATAAGTAGCCTTGATGTAATTATGTGACCTCTGCTAAAAGTGTAATAGGGTAATTTGGAGTAAGATGCCCTAGCATGTGTGCCCGAGGCCATTGATATGCACTTCTTGTAAGTAGATGAAGCCATCAGCCGAGGCATGCCCTTGTCTGTCATTTACATAATACGAAGCATTAAATGCCTAAATTTTAGGCAACCAAGCAGTGATGGGAACGCCTCCTACTCAAACAAACAGTTGAGATGTAAAAATGCATCTATACTATCCATAGGAGTCAAGGTTAACAAACACCCAAAACAAACAGTCACCACATAAGTTATAATATAAACAATTTTAAAAAATCAGTGCCTCTCTACACTTCAGTCTCATAGGTTGGTTCTATATGCTGATCAAACAAACTCTTGGAAAGAAAAAATGTTGAAAGCTCAACTTACTGACTAAAATGAGATAAAAAGTGGAGCACATGAACCAAACATGGTTAATCCAAAAACAGCAGTAAACTTAAAGAAAGTAGAAATCCCCATTTGTTTGGGTTTTTTTCCACTATTCAAGCAATCTCTAAACCGAAAAAAATCTGGCTCTCCTACAGATTGTATAAAAAGCAGACTCCACAGTCTTTCATCTTTGCTTCCTCTCAGCCAAAAAAAAAGAAACCTGAAGGTTTCTACAAAAGTCTGAGACTTTCCCGGAGTGCAGTATACCTCTGTGGCCTTGTCCTTGGCAAGCTGAGCCCATCGCTGCTCTGGAGGGAGGTCAAGGTTGATAATATAAGTGCCGACTTTAGTCCTGAGGAGATGACATTACAACGATGAGCGGTGACCTGGACGTTGTAAACAATAGCGTGAAGGGAAATATGTGTCACGATGTGACGGAATCAGGCGCTTGTCAATTGTCTGGCGTGTGTGGAGGTACAGGTATCATCTGAAAGCTGATATATTTGCATGGCTTGAAATGAAATAAATTTATACCCATCTATCTTGAATAGAACTAAAGATATTTGCGATTGCAAGAAGTGGGGTCGCCTGGTTTCAGTGTTGAAATAAGTGAGAAAATGGCCCCCACAGTTTGGTAACTCCAAAAGCTAAAGAGCCCTTGAAAACAGAAAAATTACATGTTGTGCCTTTAATCAATGTTCTTCAGTAAAACTCACATGGAAATTAGTTTTTATATGGACATGAAAGAGGTTAAGCCCAAAAATAAAATTTTCCAGACTTTCGGAAAAATGCCTGTTTCTCCCATTTCTATATTTTGACAAGCCCCTGATTTCACCACTTTGCATAACATATATTTGTTTTTTGGGGTAAAAAGAAGCACATTCATATATATATATATGAATGGTCATAGTGAGGGTAAAAAGAAAGAAAGACAAGCAAAACCAACAGAGGGAATCTTCCCTCACAACAAGCTACATTATCAGATATTAGTAACCTACTCCTGACCCCTCTTCAAAGAAATCAACCCTTACAAAAAATTTCAAAGTTTATTGAATTATACACAAAAACAAGACTAACAAGAAAAGAAAAAACAACAACCAAAAATCAGAAAAAAAAGATATTTTGAAAATCCCCAAGAAAATAACATGAAAACGCGAAAAGTTATAAAAACACAAAAGTACAAGACAAAAATAAAAGTAAATCTAAGAACTTTTCTCTTGAAATAAAAAAAAGGCTAAGAAATTGTTTAAAAAATTAGATAAATACAATTTATTGTGTAAAAAACAACAACAACAACAAAACAAAACACATAATTCAAAAATGAGAAAATCCCCCCCAAATTTTTACAAAATACAACACAACAAAAAATAAAACAATAAGACAATTTTCCTTTCCGAAAATCATATTTTCTTACTCAGTCCGTATTTACAGACCGTTATCGTAAGTAGGTGTAACACTTGAAAGTACTGATAACTGACCTATTTGATAATCGAGATAAAATATTCAAGGACATAACAAGTGACAATTCTATCTCTCTCTGAAGTATGATTTATATAAAATTTAATTCAGATAATGGGACCTAAAAAAACAATCCCTACCTGTCAGTGTAGATTTAAGTGATATGGACTTGAGGTGTTTTTAAAAAGAGCATTTCACCAGAGCACAGCAATCAAAGCCACAAGGATTTCTTTTTTTCTTTTTAGTAGAGGGTTTTACAGCGCTCACAACTGCACAAGGTCATATGAGCGCCAAGGGGTGGGTGTCAACAGAGAAGTCTTTACAGGGAGTCAGACTTACACTGCTCACCTCTCTAGCTTCAACAGCACAAGATCTGCTTCAACTATCAAGGCACCCCGGAAATAGCAGGTCACAAGAGTGACAAACATACAAACAAAAGTAGAGGAAAATGACAATAGTAAGGATTAGGAAAGGAAAAGATCTTTGTCGTAGATCAGGCACAGATATGAGCGTGACATGAATCAGCCCATTTACAATTCTACTGTGCTACGAGAAATGTCCCCCTTTCGGGACCCAGAATGGCCTAAAGACACTACAGTCAGTGGCACTGCCCCGGGGGGAGGGGGAGGATTTCTTTAAACTGGCCACTTCAGTTCACAAAATAAAATTTAGTTTCTTTATTTATTCTTTGTATTCTTTTTAAAACAATTTCCCTCTTGTGCTTGTAAATGAGAATTACCAGCTTCAGTCAAAACAAATTGCTGAAAAATGTTCAGCTATGCTCAACATGCAAATTCTGGACCAGAGAGCTTCAGGATTCCATATGTGCTGTATGTAACCTTCCTCCTGTTCCATTGAAAAGCATAGAAAAGAAGTAGACTCGTTAATGAGGAGAGATGACATGGAAAGTCCTCTGCCTGTCGTCTTCAAGGTCAATAAAAGTATGAGAGTACTGCACAACACAAGTGTGTAATATTTTGCCTCCTGTGCCATATTCCTGAAAGTGTAAATATAAGGTGATGATTATATATGAGTCATCATAAATTTAAGCAGAATTGTAAATAAAATGTTGCTACTATTTGGCATTTGGACAGGGAGCATCCTTATGGACAGCACACGGGCAGTAGTTGTAACTATGAGTTAGAAAACCCAGCATAGAGATAATAGGCCTACTTACTTGGAATCTGGAGGGTATAGGCCCTTTTCACACGTCACCGTCACATTCTGGATGAGAAGACAAAAAATAAAAATTATCAAAACTCTACAAAATAACAATTTACCTTTTTTAACATTCGATGTACAACATCATACTAAATACATTCTCCACCTTGAGGAGTGGGTGAGCCAGAGAATTAAATACAAATACAACCTGACTATTGAAATTTGTTTAAAAGATTGCTAGCTCCAAAAGTACACCATATCAAAAGGCTTGAAAAAGATCTCTCTTTATAAATATCATTGCTGCGCCAAGCCTAACCTTTTCTTTCCCCCACATATTAAATTGATGTCAGGTAGAATGATGAGAATAATGTAGCATGCTTTTCATCTCCTCCCTGCCACTTATTTCTCAAGGCAGAAGTGCCCTGTTGAACTAACAGCTTGAATGTTCTGTGGACTTCTCTGCAGGGAGTGCCAACAAAGACTCAATGTCAGATAATGACTAATCAATGCAGAAAGTAAATCAGAAAAGAGAAAAACATATTTGCATTTTTATTTTTTTTCGATGACACAAAAAATTCCTCTTCAAAAGACATTTTTCTATTACAGGGTGTACCAACAATAAATCTTTGCGTTGAAATTTTTAAAAAATGGGGGAAAAGTTTTCAAAGTTCACTTTAACAGAATTTCTTAATTTCTTACCCTGAAGCAAATTTTGTCGGACTTTTTATGCTCTTTTATCTTCAGTTTTTGCTCCCCAATGATATAATTTTAAAAAATATTTCAATATATTTTGGCAATTTTCTAGTTCGGAATATTTTATATTTTATTCACATATTTTTGCTGAATTCAGTTATTATAAGGGTAGGATAGGAAGATATGCATTACATAATAAATTAATATAACAAAAATAATAATAGAAATAACTTTTGGATAGCGCATTATATCCCCACCCAACAGCAAACTCTCATTATGAGATCTGTACAATCTATATATATATATATATATTATCAGTCCAGTTGACCCAAGAATACTCAGCTTGATTTCTCAGGATACATACAGTGCAAACAGCCAATTAGGAGCTCAAACACTAACAAACTACCAACTGAAAATGTTTAATAACATTTGTGCCCCGTGCGCTCATATGACCTTATGCAGTTGCGAGTGCCGTAAAAAACATTTACCAAAAAAAAAGGCCGGCTCAATTTCTCCGAACGCTTAGGAAAATAAACTTGAACTCTATTTCTCCAAATAGTTTCTGTTTTCGAGATTAAAAAAAAAATTTTTGCGAATGGAGTAGCACGTAGTCTCAGTGTCACGTACACGGTAACCGGGCATATAGCCTCAATATCTACGTACACTGTAACTGGCAACCGGGCACGTAGTCTCAGTGTCACGCACACGGTAACCGGGCTGTTCAGAACTCTAAGTTCAGTTTTTGTCATCTGGTGTTGCCTTCATCCCCACCCCTACCCCGACTGCACTTTAAAAAAAAATAATCCCACCATTCCAGAGCCCTATACTTCGCAGCGCACAGACTTGGAATGAACTTTGGTGACCCCCTACCGGTACTCACAATGTGATGCGCACGCACAGGTTCACTGACTGGTCACGATGGCAAGCCCGACAAGATGCTTGCAAGACTTTCTTTATTTTTTCAGCAAGTGACAGCACAGGACAAAATATATTTCAAGATTTATTTTCATTCCGGTTTACCATGTACGTAGATACTGAGACTAGGTGCCCGATTACCGTGTACGTAGATACTGAGACTAGGTGAGACTAGGTGCGCGGTTACCGTGTACGTAGACACTCCGATATATATATGGCCAGCTCTATTCGGACTCTAGATCTCTATGGCCTAAGTCTAGATATAGACAGACAGACATGATATAAATCAATCATTGATCTAGTTTCGAGGCCTAAATCTAAATGAAGATTGCAGATGTCTTTTCGAAGAACGATCGTTTTTCCTCCGTTTTGGAGTTGGAGGAATCACAATCTGAACTGAAGAAAAGAACAACGAAGTGACTATTTCTCCGAAAGTTCGGGAAAATAAAGTTGAACTCTATTTCTCCGAATGGTTCCGGATCTCGAGGGTTTTTTTTCCGTTATTTCAAGCGAGATTTAGGCGTCATCCTTTCATTTTGCCATTCTGCGAGGACTGGGAAGAAGCATTTTTTGCATCAAATTCAATTTCTAGAGCTAGAGAATTTTAAATGTCTGAATATTTAGATACTTCAGTTGTGGTTGGGCAACGTTCCCGGACTAGATCTATACTTCATTTGAAAATACCTTCTAAAGGTACTGAGAGAAAACAAGACTGCTCGACCTTGGCAGTAACCTATTTGGAAGAGGCTAGCCGTACTTAATGACGGCTAGACTGGCAGTCTAGCCGTACTTATTCTTAATATGATGGCTAGACTGACCATTTACAAAAAATAGGCCTACTGAATTGTAAATACATTTTTATTGTGCAGGACCTAAAGCATTTTTATTTGAGACAAAACCAGGTGCCTTAATGACAGTGCATGTATTTTAAACCTCCTGTTTTCTAATGTTAATAGGGCCTAAGATAAGTACTTCTTGTCTAGCCGTACTTAAGTACGGGTAGACAGCCAGGCTAGCCGTACTTAAGGACGGCTAGACTGTCAGGCTAGCCGTACTTAATATTGATGGCTGAATTGTAAATGAAATTTTTAGTTTGCACTGTCAAAAGTATTTGTATTTCAGACAAAACCAGAAGGTGCCTTACTGACTTGCATGTATTTGAACCTGAATAATCACTAGATCTAGATCTAATGAGACCTGTGTATTTAACAGGCTTGAGTCGATTGGGCCAAACCTAGATCTAAGTACGGCTAGACTGGCAGTCTAGCCGTACGGCTAGCCACTTCGAACCTATTTAGCATTTAGTTTCCCAGCAGGTAATCCTACAGGTAAAAAAAAAAAAAATCCTCCACGCCCCCCCCACCCGTTCACACTTTACATGACATACATTCACACAGACAAGCACACACACACAGTACACACACACACACACATGCACACTCACACAAACACACACTCACACACACACACGCACACTCACACACACACACACTCACACACACAAACACACGTGCCGCTCCATTCGCTTATTATCAACAAATCTCGAGAACGGAAACCGTTCGGAGAAATAGAGTTCAAGTTTATTTTCCCGAACGTTCGGAGAAATAGAGTCCACCAAAGAACAATGCCATTAATTTAAATCGAACAGTCACCTTCTATATTTCTGTCTCGCTCCCCTCTTTTTTCCTGCCTCTCTCCCCTTTTTTCCTCTCAGCCCCCCTCTTTCTCTCACACACACACACACTACCTGGTCTGGGCGCTGAAACTTTCCGAAATCACAAAAGATTTCCCCTAAAGGGTCTGTATACTTGGTGACTTTGTTCCCGGTTACCGGGTCTGTATTCACTTCATTCCACAAAAGAAAAAAGGGGAAGTAAAACTAGAACTAGATCTATGATACTGAAAAAGGTAGTGTCAATTGCCACCGAGTGACGCAGTGGCAATTGACAAAAATTGACTTTAATTAAAAATTGACTTTTTGTCAATTGCCACAGAGTAAATTGGAGCTCTTTTGCATTGGTGGGTAGATCTAGCTTATTGTGCTCGCAGAGATGCCAACCACAGAAAACCGAAATGAGTATTGGGAAATATGAAAATGTGTATTTTCTGGGGGGGGGAAATGTGTATTCCCCACGACCGACCAACCAGTAATAGTAAAATGTTCAGGGTGTCCAGCAATATTTCCTGAAAAAAAATTACTTGCCCACCAGCTCGAAAAAGGGAGCACACACGCGTACAATATACATGTATCCAGTCAACAACTTGTCCGTGTTCAATGTCATACTGGGGTCTTGTTTGACTTTAGTATTTCAGTCTATTATATAATATTTTCCTCTCATTATTACATAAAAAATAAATCCTGCTTTGAGAGTTCGGAAGGGCCTACAACAAGAATTTCGACTATCAAAAACCAGTCTGGGTGTCATGATTCATATTATGAACTGACAGATTCAAATTATTGCTCAAACTCAGAGAAAAGCAATATCTTGAAAGGCTCAAGTAGACCCATGCACCGTGAGAGTGGTAACAACTGTGGTAGGGTAAGATGCAGTGACACTGAAAATATGCCAGTCTTGAACAGAAAGCTACAACATACACTGCAGGTATAATTTACTATCACCCATCCCATGAAACACAAACACTTTATTTCAATAACACAGACTTGCAAGGTATGAGGGGTCCCGATTCCGCACACGGCCTGCATCAACGCGTGCTTTGCACAAAACTAATCAAAATTCTGAAATGTGCTTCCAAGTTTTTGTCCTCTGGTGTTGTCTAACCCCCCCCCCCCCCCCCCGATAGTATCTTATACCCCCAAAAAATCAATAATCTCCTCCCCTATGCCGTAGTCATATACTTCGCAGCGCCGCTACTCCCACCAAAGACGGTCTTTGCTCACCCGATGCCGTTATATGCGAGTGCGCGCATTCGCAATGGCGCAGGTTCAGTGACCGGTCACGATGGCGAGCCAGACAATCTAAAAATCGGACGACGCTTGTATTTTCTTTTCTTTATTTTTCCCCCACAAGTGACAGCACAGCGACGAGTCCGAGTATTTATTACATTTTATTTGCACGGTGACATTGCGTTTATACTGCACAACCTGCACGCCACAAATGTTGCGTTTTCAGACAACTGCTGGCAAACTTCTCGGGGGTAACGAAAGCGAAAGTAGATCTTGATTTTCCCGATTAAGCCTTGGTGTCACATACATTTCCGCCTGCCGTCATAGCTGCCTATTTGCGTGAAAGTGAAACGTACTCTCCGGGCGGGGAAAAGCTGAACGAATATACGATCGCGACCGGCAAAAATTAACTTATTGACCACATCGGACTTGGTCTTCAAATATTCCAGTTCTGCAATACTTATACTATTTTGACAAAAGATGGGACTTGAGATAATTAGGTTTACTCGCCCAAGCTGAATCTCGTATTTTTCGCATTCCAGGATGCATA